ATGGGCTGTGCATGTGGGCGGCCCTTCCCTCCTCCTGGCCGCTGGAGAGGGGAAATGAAGACCAGCACAGGAGTAGTTTCAGAACAGCCCCAGGGTGCTGGAGAGAGGCAGACAGAGCCAGGGCTGCACAGAGCACAACTGACTGGGGGACTTACTGGCAAAAGTGTAGTCCTAGGCAGCAGCAAGAGCAGATGGATGTCTATAACTTGGTCAGAAAGGGGCATATTTGTAGTTTAGAACAAACATGACGTCATCTTGCTGGAATGTATCCACTTATCTGAAGATAATATCAAAGACTCAGGCTCATCCCCGGAGCTAGGAGCCTGTCAAAAAGTTCCACATACCACCCTTATGGTTTAGTATGTTATAGTTGGCCAGGAAAATATGCAGGGAAACTCGATTAGGGTCATTCTGAGGCAATCATGGATGCTACTCAGGATGGCTCTTGCCATATGTGGGTGAATCTATATGCCCCACATTTTGTGATGGGCTCCTACAATCCACTGCAGCCTTCTCTTCTGTGATGAGCCTGAGCCTATGAGGAGCCTTAACACTATGTGGGGAGTTGCTACAAGGTCACTTGTCCAGTGGGAAGCAGCGTCCAAGGCAGCAAACCAACTTGGGATATCGAGGCACCTGTTTGTTCCCCATAGCCACCGGGTCTTTTTTTGATACAATACCAGGCTACCACATCCATTGGTGCAAACCTATCCCCATCTTTAAGGCATGGTGTGCTGCCACACTGACCACCTGGTGTCCAACCATGGGTCTTGGGAAATTGAGCTCAGGGTCCTTGGTATAGTTAGCTCATTCCCAACACAGTGCTGGCTGACTCAAGTGCTCACACTTGGGGCCGTCCATAGGCATCCATCCCAAATATGTTTGAGTCTTCCATTACGTGAGTGCTCAGTTTCTTTATCCCTGAAATTTAGCATAATTCCACATAGGCTCTTACATGGGGACCTGGTTAAATGGAGAGCCAGAGCCTGGGTTCCTTATGGTACTTGTTGTTAGTCACTGGGTTACGTTGAAACTGGTTGTGTCTCTGGTGTTTGGGGTGTTTGGCTTCCTCCCATATATGTTTATTAGAACCTTTTAGTCTTGTCCTTGGATAGGAGATACCTTCCAAGGTAGTCCGGGTGAAATGGAAAAAGCGGTCCAGACACCCAGGTGCTGAGCAAGTGTATCAGTCAGTGCTTACTAGAGAAACAGATTGAATGCAAGATACGCAAATATATATAAAAATGTATAAGATTGACTTACAATGGCCTCCCACAGAGTTGGGTGTGGAAAAGTACAAAAGGTCTGTCTGTGCACTGGAGACCCGAAGGATCCAGTCCAACGCCTAGAGCTCCCTGTAGTGTCCCATGGGCATCCGTTTCAGGAGGGTGAAGGGTCTACGGTGAAAGACTGAAGAGTGCATGGAAGCCAGGGGATGACATCTGAGGTAAAGAGGAAGACCAGAGCTCCTCTGAAGAAACAAGCAAGCCTTCCTTCTTTGTTTCCCTTTTATAGCATTCAAATCACAAGCCTTCCCAGGGTGGGTCTGTGTCTTCATGTAAACCCCTCAGCCACACCTCGCAATGCAATGTAGTTGGGCACTTCTTACTCAAATTGACCAATCAGTTCACTGTCACAGCTTGGCACACCCACAGGAGGGATGGGTCTGTTGCAAGACAGCTGTGGTTTTGTGAGCAGCAAAGGAGACAACAGGCTCAGCAGAAGTCCAAAACTATGGGCAAAACTTAAAATGTTTGATGGGAGCTTGTCAAGGTAAATCTTCCATCCAGGAAGACAATCCAGGGGGCAGCACAGCAGGGGACTGGGTGCTGGACACATTACATGTGCTGGGTAATAGAATAGGCTCCTCATGAGTGGCGAAACTGATGACAGGCCAGAAGGCCAACGGCAGAACTCTGAAGGATTTCCTTTATCCCACTCAAGGAGTGAGGCCCAGAGTCCAACAGGATCAATGCTGAGTTGGGAGGACTGGAGTTTCTTCATATTGTGGTGAGGAACAGCTGATCCACTCAGAGGGACAAGACCCCAGACCCCACTGAGTCAGTGGGGACTCTCTTGGATTTAATGCTTGTGGTGTGACAGCAGCAGTGCTCTCTGTCTGTGTCTGAGCTGTGGCAGCGCACCACCTGGCTGCACAGCTGGGACACAATGGCCTTTGGGCAGGACTGGAGGCCCCAGGCTCTTGTAAAGGGCAGGCATGCCAGCCCAGTGGGTGTTTATGTTTGTCAACACTCCTCTGTGGATTTCAGTGTAGCTGGCCAAGGGAGGCTTGCCCAATAGGGCCAACATCTGCTCTCATAAGCTGTTCTTCCTCTCTACCAACCCTACTGCCTGTGAGTTCCATGGACCACCAGTGAGCCAGGAGCCCTGTGAGGGGCTGTGCGTCCTGCCCCATAGTGGGGACAGAGTGGGTAAGAACTTGTTCTTGCGCTGTGCCAGGGATCTAACAGGTGTCACCTGACTAGACCCCCGTGAGGAGATACGCAGGGCCTCGGGCCACCCACTTGTGCGTGGACAAGTGCACCATCAACCATGATAGCCCATCACTGAGCGTCATCTCCACTGGCTGGCACGAGCCAGCAACACGGCATCAAGTCATGTCGGTAGGGAATGAGAGAGGGTGGTTCACAGCCATCATGCTGTGACAGATAGGAGGGCTGTGCAGGTGTCCCAAGGAGTGTCCACTCCCTTCCCTTTTGTGTGAAGGTCAACTGGTCTTGTGAGTCCAGCTTCAAAGGAAGGCTGAGAAGCCACAAGCCCAGTCTAGAGCAGAACACACAGAGCCCGGAGGAAGACACTCCAGCTGGGGCCTGGGCCATGTCAGCCTCTGCAGCATGGCTAGGAGGGGTCATTTACTTAATTTCCTCTAGAAGACATTCTTCAAGTCCCATCTGGCTTTGTTATTGGCCAGACAAGTTTCACACTGCAGTCAGGTTTTTTAAAAAATCCCAGCTCATCTTAATTCTTGTATGTTCTGATTCTTCAGGTACCTGTCTGCCTGTGCTACCCGGGGCAGTTGCCGTTCCCTGACTTTCCTTTTCCATCGGGCGGGATCCCAAGTTGCTTCCCCTTCAATACTGACTTTACTACCCCAACTTGGAGTCTAACTCTTCCCTCGGTGGTCTCTAAGGTCTTTCCTTGTGGAATACCCATCCCATAATGTTCTCAGGGACCAGATCATCACCAATTATGGAGAGAGGGGTCCTCCCCCAACTCCTAGATTTAATATGTCTTGTTTTACTTTGTTGATTTCACTCCATCCTGATCTGTAACTGCCCAGGACCCCAGAATATACCATAGGGTACTGCGATCAGTGTACAATCAGCACCAGATTTACCAGGGCGATGGTCTTCCCCTTGTCCTTCTAGGACTGGTGGACTGAGTTCTGCATGAGGTCTCTGGCCAACCCATGACCCTAACTCCGTGGTGGCCTTGGCCTCGCCCTTAGTTACATGGACTGGGTTGGGGGGAGTCCACTGGGAGCATCTGGCAGAGCCAGAGCACAGGAATTCCTGCTGTTCTCCCACAGGGTGACTCAGAGTACATAGGAATTCATCTGCCTTTCTCTGGGTACCAGCACGAAACCAATCATACCACACCTGCTTTCTAGTTATCGGACTGTTTTATCTGTTTCTCTTTTCTGTCAGGCTTTGTGACATGTGGGACCTTGTCCTGGATCAGCAGTAGCTCTGCCCACTCACAGATATCCTGAGGAGAGAGAGGAAAGAGTCCTCCAGGGCATTTATTAATAGTTTGTTTTTCATTCCAGCCATGAAAATGGCTTTAGGTCCTCGAGTCACCTGTAGCCTGTCACATGCACAAATCTGGCAGAACTTCTTGGGATTTCTCTGTGCCCTTCCGTGGGGTTCCTGGCCTGGCAGGTACCCTCATTTGGCCATGCTTCCTTCAGGCTTAAAATGATCCAACCTGTGCGGGAATGGTTTCCTTGGATCTGGCTGGCACCTTGCGGGCTCTGTATCAGGGCCAAGTGAGAGGAAGTAGTACTCATCTTGTCGACTTCATGTCTCACCAGGAACATGCCACCCCTCCCACATCCTGGGATCTCACCAGCGGGGCATCAGAGGCCCACAAGGTCCTGCAACATCCACCACCTCTGCCGCAGTACAAACCCGAGTAGTCTGTCCCACAGCGTGTGCACGCTGCGCCTGTGCTTTGCATTGTGTTGATGGTGTAATGAAAAGGCCAGGTTCACGAGCAGGGAGCCCATTCTCTCTCACCTCAGTCTCGGGGTTTTCCTCATCCCCTCTCTCCCAAGGACTCCAGTTCTCTGCGTCCCATTTGAGTCTTCCAGCTGTCCTCCCTCCCTCCAGCTGCTCAGAACTGCAGGTCCAGGTGTCTAGCCCTGTGGCTTACTTTTCCAAATCTCAGCTGGGTTAGAGGCTAGGAGGGAGGTGGAGAGACATGTATCTCTTCCCGTCTAATGCCCACAGCAGTGGCCGTCCCTCTGCAGTGGCACAATGCGGCATTTCCTGATGCACTGGGGTAAGAGGGAGTTAGCAAACAGCAGCTCTGAACACAGTGATTTCAGGGGGGTCCTGGTACCCTTGCAGTGGGATGCAAGCATTTAACATCTGACCATCCCCTCCCACAGGGAATTAGGTGGCCAAGTCATGACTGACTTTCCCCGAAGATGAAGCTTTCCCTTTATCCCTTTCCTGGATCTCCCAGTCAGCTTGCCAACCACTTCAGAATAGCCCCACCCCAGGGTATAAGGACAGAGTCCAAGGTGCTGTAACACCAAAGAAAGAGAGGCAGCAGGGCATGGTGGTGCATGCCTGTACTCCCAGCACTCGGGAGGCTGAGACTGGAGAATCTGTGAGTTCGAGACCAGCCTGGGCTACATAGTGAATTACGGGTCAGTCCTAACTACATAGTGAGACCCTGTCTCAAAAACAAAACAAAACAAAACAAAACAAAGCAAAAAACAAAGAAAAGCAGACAGAGCCAGGGTTGCACAGAGTGAAATTTATTGGGGTCTTACTGACAGAAGCATGATCCTTATGTAGCTGCAAGACCGGTTGGATGCCTGCAACTTGGGTCAGGGAGAGGGGCATATTTATTGGTCAGGACAAAAGTGATTTCATTCTTGCTGGAATGTACCCTATCCTAAGATAATATTGAAGAACTGGGCACATCCCTGCAAAAGGTCTAGTTGCAAAGCTCTGTGTATCAACCTTTGGGATATGTGCTGGGAAAAGATGCAGGAAACCTGACTAGAATCACTCAGGAGAGACACGATGATTGCAGCTCAAGATGGTCGCAGTCATGCGAAGCTGACTCCACACCTGTGCAGCCCCTGAACTCACCGCACCTGGGTTGAGTGGGAGAGGGAGCTGTCTGGGGACTCTGGGTCTAGCAGGGCCTGCACTACATTTCTAGCTGCTCCACTGATGTGAGGCAGCTCCCAGCATCCTACGGGGGCTAAAGAGGCACTCATGAGCCAGGAACAAGAGGGGCCGACCTTGAAGCTGCTCCTGACCTGACACTTTTTGGCTGTGTGGCCTTGAGAAAATACCCTAACCTCTCTGTGCTTCGGGTTCCTTTGCTCCTCACATTGGATGGGCCATTTAGGGAAGCTCAGTGTCCAGCTACAGTAGGTGCTGGCTTGGGACTTGTTCCACAATGAGCCAGGACTTCCAGGGGCATTCTGTAGAGGTGGCCCCACACCTTCCAGAGCAGCCCCCTAACTATTCTGTCTGCCTGCACAGACCAGGGGTCCCAGCCCTCGATGGATGCTTTTCCAAATTTTCTTCTGCAGAATAACGTAACTTGAAATGCCTTGGCTCCTTTGGGGATTTTGTCTTGTGATTCCTGACTGGGAATACACAGAACACTTGGGCTCAACACATCAGGAATCACATCCAAAAAGGTGCTGTTTGCTCTAATATTTCTAAAAACAAATTGGGTTTGGAAACCATTTCTTTAACCCAAATTATTGGCCAGTGCCGTGTGGTAATGCTCATCCTGCGTGGTCTGGAGTTCTGGGCTGAGCCACCCCTCCTGGGTCTCAGTGCCACTGCACTTGACTTTCAAAGGCCAAGTTTGTAAGGCCCAGTCCTCAGGTGGCCCAGGCCTGCCACCCTCCTGATGGATCACCCCCATCTCTTGTCCCCAGAACACCCCCCACCCTGTTTGCCTGGGTGTGACATAACCCCTGGGCCCCCTTTCCATCTCTCAGAGCACACAGGCCTGAATGCCTTCAAGCTGTTCTTGGTCCACTGGAACTGGGGTTGACCCAACACCTGGACTCTCACCCCAAACACCAACATGCGAAGAGCAACATGGGAAAGCAAGGGGATTAATCAGAAGTCAGAGGTAGGGAGGCAGGGGGTAGGGAAGGAATTGTGGCTTTCACAGGAAGGGAGGGTAGGAGGTTAAGTGAATTTGGGATAGGCCAGCTTGATCGTTTCTGGGCTGTGAGTCCTGGGGGCTGTCTCTGGTACCTGGTTCCTGCTCAGGAAGATGAGGGTAGGACTATGGTGCCCAGTGTCCTGACAAAGGGGTGCAGAGGCAGGAAGAAGTGGCTTACAACTCTAGGAGTTGGCTATGTGTGTGTCACTCCCTCAAGTCAGTGAAGCCCCAAGGGCCAGAACACCAAGGAAGCAGAAAACAAACACTCAGCTGACATGGGGAGGAGGAGCTGTTGAGATGCAATTGGGCCAAGGGCCAGCTCTCTCTGACTTCCTCCTTCCTGAGTGGAGGTCTCACTGGGCAGGGAAGGGAGCTTCAAGAGCTGGCTGTTTTCATCTCCTCCTTTTCCTCTTCTTCCTCCTTCTCTTCCTCTTCCTCCTCCTCTTCCTCTCCCTCTTCTATTCTCCTCCTGGAAGCAGAGGGTCCTGACCCCTCTAGGCTGGGGCCCCCACCCCTGAAGCTGCAGGTTACCACAAAGGTAATGTGACATTTTGCATGCTACACCTGCGAGCCACTGCCCAATGCAGAGTAGGCTCAGCTCCTGCTGGCTTTTGTCACTAATGTGACCTCATGGTTTGAAGGAAAAACATCCTGTTGTCAAATGAACTGAGCCTAACACAGTCTACAGGCCACTAGGGGAAGCAGGATGGCCAAGCAGAAACCCCCTCCCCATGGCCCTTGGGCTCTAAGAATGGCCCCCCTAGAGCCTGGGCAGAGTGGGTAGGACTCGGTGTCTGGGATGCGAGGCTCTGGGGTGGGGACAATAACACAGCTCGTGATAACACAAGACCGCGGCTGACTACACATGTCAGGCTGACCATTCAGCTGTATTTTCCAACTTCTATGATCAGGAAATAGCTGAGGAGTGAGCGAGGCCTCCACAGTGCAAACGGGACCAGGAAAGGGACAACGTTCCCACTTGCATCTGAGCACAGCAGGGGTGGAGGTGGGGAGAGGGTGTCTTCCTGGGCCACTGGCTGCCAGGTCCAGTTCCCTGTCCTTGCAAGCACAGGCCTGGGGCCCCAACAGCCCTCTCTGCAGGGCCTGGATAGGGGACCAGGGTTACAGAGGTGTCCTGGAATGCCTGGCTGCACCAGCAGTGACATCTTGTTCCCAAGAACTCTGTCCTGCCAGCGAAGCCCCAGTGGGTTCTGAGTCCTGAGGTGGGTGGGTCAGGTTGGATACTGGCCTGGCCCGTAGGCCTTGTCATTTTTGGGCCTTGAGCCACCCCAGCTCTGACTTTATTTGAGAGTCCAAAAAGGGTCCGCCTTGGAGCATTCAGCCTCAGGGTCATGCAGGGTAAAGCCTGGAGCCGAGCTGGCCAGGGTTCCCAGGTTGGGCTTTGTTGGCTCTAGGAGCAGAAGAGGGGCAGCTGGGGGGATGTGAGCAAGATGGTGGGTGGGGGTCAAGGCTGGGCCTGTCTGGCCGGGGCCTGGAATCTCAGCTTTGGACCTGGTGGATGGTCACCTGCTCCCAGTGCGCCCCTGTGTGCCAGATCTCAAGATGGGGCTGAGCAGATAGATTCTATGCAGAAGTTGGCCATGGGGCCACGTGCCTGTTGCCACACTCGGGATGGGGTGGAGGGAATGGGATCTTTCCAAGGAGACCCATGAGGCCAGATGGGAGGAATTTAGAGCTGCCCTCAAATGCTTGGATGCTGAGAGTTGGCTCTCTGGGAGAGGGTGCCCCAAGGGTTTCAGGCCTATCTGTACCTCAGATGAGGCAAAGGGGCCTGAGAAGAAGTGGGTGGGGGCTCCTGAGTCAGCCTCAGTCCAGCAAGGTGGGCACTGCGGACAAGGGGTCCAGGAACTGACTTCAGGCAGTGACAGCTTCTGGATAGTTAAGGGCTGTCACCGAGCCCCTCTGAGACTCAGGGTTCTCATCTGTAAAATGGGAACCCTTTTCCACATTACTAAAAGGATTTTGGCAAGAGGAATACCTGTGAGATCAATTTGCGTTTTTTCTCCTGGTCCTTCTTGGGTCTGACAGAATGGGTGTCCAGCGCTAAGAGTAGGATTTACGGACAGTCCACTTCCTTTCCTGCTCTCCTTTCCCCAGTGATGATACTGTCCTGGAAGTGGAGACAGAGGGCCAGGCAGGCTCTCAGGGGGCACTGGGAGGAGATAAGGCCCTTGGTGAACGCAGCTGCCAGGATTCCTGGACCCAGACCTGCCAGGGATGTACCCTAGGACAAAGGCCTGGATGCAGCCCAGCACTGCCCGTGTAAGGTGCTAAGGGCGGAGCAGCTGACCCCGGGATGCTGGGTAGGGGTAGGTGATTCAGAGTCAGAGTGACAAGCTGCATCGTGGCTGAGAGCGAAGGTCCTTCCACCTCGAGGCACAGAGGCTCTTACAGAAATCAAAGGGGACCCTTCTCGGGCCCCGTAGCCCGGGTTAAGATTCACACCGGACCTGGAGTGTTGTGACAACGAAACTCTACTGGGACTTGCAAGATGCTGGACATGCTTCAAACTGTTTTGCAGGTATGAAGTCCCTTGGCTCTTGTTTCACAGATGAGGAAGCAGAGGCTTAGGGAGATCGAGTAGCTCACCCACAGTGACATGGGGGCGGCAGCAAGCTGGGTTCGGCACAGGCAAGTGGGCTCTGGCCCCCACTCTTAGCTACTCATGCCATGAGCAGGCTCCTGGGCGGGTGGCTCTGGGCTCATTCTGTGACCCCTGCCTGCATCAGGGCAGCTCCCACCTGCTGTGGAGAAGCCTGCTGGGCAGAGGTGCAGTGGGGAGCTATCCAGGTGCTGAAGATCTGGGCTCCGTCCTGCAGGGTGGGGCGGCTGCCAGTGGGCAGGGCTACTCCAGCTGTGGGCTGGACTGAGGGGCCTTCTGCCCTCAGCGGCCCTCTGCCCACACAGCATCCTTCACCTTGGGATCCAAGGGATCTCAATGGCTGCCGGCTTTTCTGAAGCTCTGGGCAAGGTTTGCATTGTCCAGGCCCCGTCTCACGGCCTTAAACAGCAGCCCCATGAACTTCTAAAAGCCCATCTCTGAGCTTCTCCATGTGTCCCTCTGCAAGAAAATTTTAACGGGAAGGAATCTCTGCAGCCATTTGGGTGGAACCTCAGAGAACCCTGTCCATGCCAAGGCTTGTCTGAGAGCTCATTGAGACTGGAGATCTCTCCATTTTCCTGCTTAAGCCCCTGATGACAACATGGTCACAAGGATGCTGCTGGCCACTGTGGATAGTGTGGCACATTGGGCTTTGGGCAGCACTGGAACAGATGGCATCCTGAGGGTCCACATTCATAGCACTTCACAGGAGCCCAGAGGGCATGCCCTGTCACCAGGCACAGTGACTGCTGCTGCCTATAGCATCTGTCCCACCGGTGCAGCAGAGTCTTGGTCTGCCCTGGCTTCTACAGGGTTCAGTTGACCGCTTGTCTCTCACCGTGGACCAGGTGCCTACTCTGCTTTGGTCCTCACCAGGAGTCAGGCAGACTCTGCTTACAGGCTGAGGTATAGGGGTCTGCAGGACCTTCTTTTCAGTGGCCTTGCCCCCGAGGGCTTCCTGAGTCTCTCCTTCACCTGGCCTAAGCCAGCCTCCAGTTTTGGGAACGTGGTAGCCTGCAGCAGAGGGAGGGGCAAGGAACGGAGGTGGGCCAAGCTGTGCTCTGCCGTGGAGGTGCCTGCGGCTAGCAGGAGGGGAGGAAGGGCGGGCTAGTGCAAGTTGGTCTGGACCTGCTGCCTGGCTGGCAACTGGCCTGCCTATCCCTTCTCTGTCTCCTCTGTATCAGAGGAATGTGCACGTAGCTCAGCAGCTCTCACAAGTTCCTGAGCATGAGAAGGCATCCAGAGGTTTCCTCAAAAGCACATTCCTAGGGTCTCTAGAGACCTGACTTCCAGTCTGGCCTTTCTAGCAACTTCCTGTGAGCCTGGTGCACAGGGAGGGGAAAGGCACAGGGAGTGGGACCAGGTCATCAACGAAGTCTTCCTGATCCCACTCTGGCAGCTCTCCCAGGCCCCCCAGGTTGGAGCGGCAGTCAGCACTTACAGGACCTAGGCAGTCACCTCCATGAGGCCCCTGTGGGAGGCCTCCCTCCTGGCCCTCAGCTCGGTCTCGTCCCCCAGCGCCCGCTGGAACACCAGCCGGAGGGGGTCTCGCAGCCCCCGACCAGGAGCGCTGCCCAGACAGAAGTAGATGGCAGGCTTGGCTGCACTGTGCATGCCAGCGGTGAGAAAGCTGAGGTGGTAGAAGTAGTGGGGGATGTGCCAGTGCAGGTTCCAGGACAGCCAGAAGATGCCGAAGGGCAGGCCGCAGAAGAGAAAGAGAAGGACGGCCAGGAGGACCAGGGCAGTGAAGCCACGGGGCTGGTGCCCCTGCGGACCATGCTCCATCCTCAGCAGGAGCAGCAGGCTGGACACACACATGGCACAGCACAGTGCAGCCAGCAGGGCTGCCAGCATCACCCACAGTGTCCAACACAGGTGGCTGCTGGATTCCCCAAAGAACAGGGTGCAGGCCCCAGTGAGCAGCAGGTCCAGAAGCAGGCAGAACGCCCAGATGAACGCACATACATAGGTGGTCATGTGGCGTGGGCGGCGGCACAGGTACCAGGCCGGGAAGAACGTGGCCAGGCACTGCTCCATGCTGATGGCTGCCAGCAGGCTCAGGCTTACGATGTAGCAGAGGAAACGGAGTGTGGTCAGGATGGTCTGGATGGCGCCTGGGAGGCCCAGCTGGCCAGGCAGCAAGTCAGAGACGACAGCCACCATGTGGCAGCTGAGGAAGACGAGGTCTGCGCAGGCCACGTCCAGGAGGTAGATGGAGAAGGGGTTCCGGAAGGCATTGCGGACAAGCAGCCAAAGGACCACGCCATTGCTCAGCAGTCCACCCAGGCTGAGGAGCTCAGTGAGGGACAGGATGGCCAGGTTGAAGGCCACATCCTCCTGGACACTGTGGGGGAAGCCCGCTTGCCGTGGGGCTTCTTTCAGCTCCATCGTCAGCCAAGTGTGAGGTCTGTGGGAGGCCGGGAGGCTGAGTGCTTACCGGGCTTTCTGTCTCTGGCACCCCTGCAGCAACAATGACATCTGAGTTCTAGGCTCAGGAGCCTGCGCCCTAGTCCTGCCCACTTCTGAGGAGAAGGGGAGCTAAGGGTTGGCATGTGTGTATGTGTGAGATCTCCCGAAGGAGGCACCCTTCTCCTATGTCCACTCCCATCACCTGACTGCCCTTCCCTCCCTGTCGAATGCACATGAAGCTGGGTCTCCCTGAGCTCCCAAAGCTCCCAAGCTATCTCTGGGGGTGGTCCCAGCAGGCCAGGCGGACATTGCTGGGGAGATGTGGGGACGAGGGCCGAGACCTCTGTGGCTCCTGCAGATCCTTGAGTCGGGTCTCCTTTGAAAGTCAAAGGCAGGGCTGTGCCCAATGAGTGGAGTGACCCTGGAGGGACAACTTGTCATCATCCTAATGACATCCTGAGTGGGGCTGTGGCCAGTGGGCTCTGGATTCTCCAGCTTGACTACTACGTGGCCATGGTCACAGCCCTAGAACCCTCTTTCCCTCCACTTGCCACATCCTTGCTGCCCCCTGACTCGACTCCAAGACTCTTGAAACTTGGGAGGCTCCTTCTTCTCTATCTGTCACTCTCTGTCCCAAAGAGGAGAAGGGGGACCTGCCTGATGTGTAGCTGGGTGGAGCCCTAGCCTCCTGCTGCCCCTGCCCCCATGTGGTAAGCTCCCTGGGGCCCTGTGTGCCAAAGGGGCTCAGCTCCACAAGTCCTGCCTGGCCCTCAGTTCCTGGCACATCACTGCAGCTTTGCCAGGGACACAGTGAAATACTGAACCTTACAGGGCTGTCCAGAAGTCAGCCTGAGGCCCAAATGCAGTCACCGGTCCCCATCTGGGAACCTCTGTCATCCAGCCTCATGTGGCTACCTGTCCTGTCCCATCACCTGTGATGAGCTGTCCCCATCCTGCTACCTGTGATCCAAGCTCTTGGTGCCCACAGTTGGGGAGATGGCACAGGGTCTTGCCTCTCCTCAGAGGCTGGCTGTGGCTGGGGCTGAAGCCTGGGTGCCCCCGTCCTGCCTCAGTGGTGGCTGGTCCTCTGGTTACCCAAGAGGAGGTGAGCGGGTGCCAAGATGGCTCCCACCTCGAGGCCGTGATTGAATCTCCTGCTTTCTCCCTCCAGGATGGGAGGGGCAGTGGCAATGCAGGTGATGGGGTAGGGATGGGACTCAGGGCTGAAGCTGGCCTTAGAGAGGGGCCATATACTGAGCACAGCGGCCCAGGTCCTGATCACCTCTTCCTGTCCAGACTCTGCTGTTGTAACTTGACCAGGGTGAAATGACAGGATTTGGGTGGGTGCTCAGTGGAGAGGCCACCTGGATCCTGCCACTCTAGGAAGCTGCCCACCTCCCAGGTCCATTCTGGATCACTCAGCTTGGGAAGACATCAGGGTGGGACTAAGCCCTGGGTGGAAAAAACAACCCCACTTCTGGTAGGGTGCTCTGTCGCCACCAGCAGGGCCTGGTTGGTAAGGTGGCTCTGCGTGGGCTGTCACCTGTCAGGAGACCCTGACTGGGGCTATGGGAATCCCTGCCATCACAATTGGGACAAGATCAGGACAGATGCTTCCCCTCCTGGGCAGGGTTGCCACACACTCCAGCCAGGGGAGGGCCAGAGTTCAGTTTGGGAATATCTTAAGTCCACTGACAGGGACCTCCATCCCAACTGTGCAGTCCTGTCTATCCAGCTTGAAGAGGACCTGGGACCAAGGGAAGCTCTGGCCTCAGGACTGAGTGAGCTTTCCCAGGCCTGTGAGCTCCCCCCCGGGGGGGCTTGGCACCTGTCCACTGCCAGGATAGCTTCTCTCTTACCTTGTGTACCTACAGGGGACTGTGCTGCCAAGGACCTCCCTCAGCTGGCTGAGGATGACACAGCCACATGGGCCTCAGGGAAAGCCTGGAACAAAAGCAATGGATGGGGGAGTGAGGGCAAGAGGAGGTCAGACGGGGTGGAGGAGGATAGGGTTGGAGTGGGTGACAGTGAAGATACCGCTCTGGTCTCTCCACTGGTGCCTTGCTGAGCAGGACGCTATGTGGACCGTCTGCCCAACTAGAGGCTTGGGGGGTGCTCAGAAGGTGGGGGCCTCATGCTGGCTCACAGAAGCCCAGGGAGTGGAGGAGCTTGTGAGGCGGAGGGGAGGGAGAGGAGGGCAGAAACAGAATAGGTAGGAAGCCGAGCCTTGGCTCTGTCGTCAGCAAACCCAAGAGGGTTGAGAGGGGTGCGGGCGTGGTTCTGTTGTTGGCAGATGGGCTTTGGAAGCCCCACCCTGGACAATCAGGACCGACGGGCCATGACACTGCCCCAGGACAAGTGCTGGTGTGTGATTGTCTCCTTGACCCTCCTTAGAGTAGGTCCAGCCCCCACCTGCAGCATGGGACACAAGAGAGTGCAGGAGAGTCACCCAGCAGAAGGGGAGATGCTATTCAGCTGAGCCCTCCTCTGGCCTGGATCAGAGGGCGGAGGCTTGGGCGGAAGATGTGTGTCCTCTGAACCTGCCCCTCCCCCACCCGGCCAGCAGAAGAGCTTGGCTGCCCAGGAGTTACTGGGCTGACCCCAAGGCCCTCCCTGACCAGTGCTACTCACCGCTGGGTCCTGCCTGCCTCAGGCCCTGGCTGTGGAGCTGAGCTGCCCAGGCTGAGGGCTCCAGCCGCCAGAGCTGTGGGCTGCTCCTGCCCAGCGTCAGCCAGCCCCTCGGAGTCACATGGTGTCCGGCTGAGATGGGGCTGCTGGGGAAGGAGGAGTCTCTCTGGGGACCTGCTCCTCCGTTTGGCTTGGATCCTGCTCAGGTGTGGACAGCAAGAGAAGCTGCGATCCTCCCTGCAGCTTTCCAGGCAGGCCTGGCAATCAGAAGAAACCACGAGATCGCAGGGTGGAGCTAGACCAAGCAGTGACCTCACTGGCCCTCCTGGCTCAGAGACACAACCCCAGGGGGACTTTTAGGGGCCACTCCTCTCCACCCATAATGTGGAGCACTCAGCCGTGTGCCAGGCCAGCAGTGGCTCTTGTCCTTGCCATGAAAGTGTTTGTGCCTCTTCCGAGCCTAGAGGCTGCTGGCACGGTTCCTCCAGACTGCAGGGCGGTAAGGGCCCAGGATGTGCTGGGAACAGAGGGATGCAGCCCAGACAGCGCCCTCTTTCCTGTGAGCCTCTTGCCCCTGGGATGCAGGATGGCTGCTGCACGTACAGTTCCTGGCAAAGGAGGATGGGGAGCCCCAGACTCATGTTCAGTGATAGCCTGTGAATTCAGTGATACCTGCTTGTCTGAAAAGGGAAAAATCCACTTTCCAACTGTACCCTCTGCTACCCTGCCATCGGGAAGAGGTCCCAGCTGCCACAAAGAGGCAGAGGACAAGTGCATATTTCGGCTTTTGATTCTCCATGAGCCAGCGTCTTAACAATTCTCAGTTTTATATTAGGAACAAAAATCCCAAACTTTAGGAAGAACTGCTAGAACAGCACAAATATGGCTACGTGTTAAAGTTTCCCACGTCTTGCTACCCAGCTACCTATCTTTTGCAGAGCCAGGTTGGAACAAGTTTCCAGCTTTGACATTTTGCCTTTATTTGTGTCAGTGGACACCCTTAAGAACACCAGCCTCCTTTAAACTGATAAGCAGCAGTCATACTCAGGACATTGAATGTTGGTGTAGTGCTGGCACCTGATGTCCCCTGGTGCTGTCTGTAAAACTTTTTGTCTTCCAGCTCTGCACCTGCCTGCCCTTCCTTGCCTCATGTCGTCAGCCAGATAGGCTGGGGCTCTCTGCAAACCACACCTGGGCTCGCCCAGCCACTTCCTGCAAGGCTCTGCCAACAGGGAGCACTGCAGGAAGCCACAGGATTGGAGGGAGAGGGGTCTTACTCGATCCCAATTTTGTTTCCTGTTGTGGCTTTTGCTTCTTTTTGCTGTCAGTTGCCCAGGGACTTTCCTCGCCTGGAGGCAGCACCGATTCCAGCTTGTTTTCCCAGCACTTGGAAAACCAGCTCCTTGTCTCCCATCTGAGACACTGGCCACTGCTAGTTGGCTGCTTTTCCTCAGAGGTCTGGGGAGAAAACCATAGGTTCTGGTTTTCTTTTTTTGGTATGGGGAATCGAACTCAGAGCCTCGTGCTTGACAGACAGATGCTCCACCAGAGTTACATTCCCTGCCCTCCATAAGTTTTGAGTATTAACCTTTCTTTCTTCCCTTTGCTTCCTGACTCTGGGGGTGGCCAGTCTTCAGCTGCTTTGTCTATAAACCTTCACATACTCTTTTTTACCTTTTTTGAGTCTTCTAGTGAGCAATTCTTTAAAAATCCATCCTGTCAAAATTTCATTAGCTGTCATTTCTTGGTCATCCTTGCTGGTGCTGACATGGTGTCAGAAAGGGTCCTAGGGAAACGGGAATTGGGCCAGGCCTGGTTGTGTTCTAGACTGTAAGGCCGGGTTTCTTGGCAATGGGAAGGGGGTGCTGGTAATCCGCCCCACACCCCTGTAGCATTATGAATCAAAGGAGCACTCTCGATGCATTCTGACTGAGGCAAGTGCCCTTGGGAACCATTTGGCTGTGGGACAGGCCATACGGCAGTAATGAAGATCACCAGAACTGCAGCATGGGATGATTCTGGAAATTGCAGGAAGAAAATGATGGTTTCTGCTTCTGATTCTAAGGGGGAAACCAGGGCTGGAATTAATGTCTCAGTGTAAAAAACTTTGATTGTGGACTGGATGGCAGTGGACCACTTGTCCTTGCCATGAAAGTGGGAACCTGAGAGAGCAGTAACCATGAGGGGAGCCAACACTCCTCCTGATTCTGTCTGCTGGTGACTTCCAGGCACAGCACAAGGAGGAGGAGCCTACGAGCTCAGCAGGAGAATCCCCAGATAAGGAGCTGGTAGGAAATAATGAGATAATAATGGTAATCTGTGAAGCCCAGAAAATGGACCAACAATACAGAAAATCAGTGAAACTGGAATCAATTTATTTCAAGATCAATAAATTTGCAAAACTCTGTGTGGATTAAGAAGATATGACGTCGATGACAGCACCAAAGCCTGGACACTCAGCAGTGGAATATAAAAACAAGGTGCAGACTGACACACTTGGCAATTTTGATGAAATGGATAAACTCTTGGGAAAAAGGCTGTAATTAAACAAGTTGTGCTTGTTGCAGGAAGATGAAAAACAGATCATCATGTTAAGCAAAATAAATCAGACTCATAAAGACAAATATGATGTGTTTTCTTTCATATATATATATATATATATAGAGAGAGAGAGAGAGAGAGAGATAGAGAGAGAGAGAGAGGGAGAGAGAGAGAGGTGAGTGGAGAGAATGAAAGTAGAAGGGTGAATTTTTTGAGACAAGGTCTCACTGTGTACTCCAGGCTGGCCTCAAATTCACAGGGATCCTCTTGCTTCAGCCCCCAAAGTGCTGGGATTACAGTTGTGCCTGGCTAAAAGGGAGACTATTACAGAAGGAAAAGGAATAGAGAGGAGAAGAGAGAGAAGTATGGGGAGGTAATGATCAAAGTACATGCTATATTCATGTGCAAAATAAACCCATTATTCTGTGCAACCAATATGAATTAATAAAAAGAGTTGTGCTTCTAATTGACTATTTTCTATCAGATTTCCAGTCCTAAATGACTTCACTGGTGAGTCTATAAGACAGTTAAGAGATAAATAATTCTAAACCTGCAAAAGTCTTTTAAAAAATAGAGGAGGAAAGGACACCTCCAACTCATTTAGGAGGCCATTACTATTCTGGACACAGGTATTATAAGAACAGAAAACTACATGAGCACAGCCTCAAAGCACATAAAAGAAGAAAAATAACATAGGAAGAATCAGAAACCACATGAACTTACCTTAGGAATGATAAAAGCTCATAAGGTCCAGCTGTTTTATTTAACTTTTTGTTTTTGATGAGAGATAATTTATATTAACTGAAATGTTTGGTCCTTTTCTTTCTTTTTCTTCTTGAAGTTTGCAAGAGTGAAGATTTGGCCTTTGCATCATAGGGGTAAGGAAGGCAGGATGGAGTGGTTGGTAAGATACTGGTTCACAAGCTCCTTTCTCGTACGGCAAAGTGTGATTATTTTTTAAAGCGGGTGGAGCTGGGAGAGGATGGGTTGGTGGCCTTTAGCCTTGGTTGTTCTTGGTCTGACAGAGTACTAAGTTCCTCCTTGCTCCTTTCCCTTCACGCTGTTGTTTCTAAAGATCATATCTCTTTCCCCCTCTTTCCCCGCTGGACCCGTTGTAAAGATCTCCAATGTTCCCCTGAGTGTCCTGAGTAGTTTTGAGGTGTTCAGGCCTTGTGTTAATTTACAGTGTACATCCTTTTCATTATTACTGCATCTGTAGAAGGCTGACTGGTAATGGTTTCAGATAAAGCTCGGACTCTTTATAGTTTGGGTCTTAAGTATCCCCAAAGGCACATATTCTGAAGGCTTGTTCTTAGTCTGTGGTGACATTGGGAGGTAGAACTTTTAAAAGGTGGGGCCTAGTGGAAGGAAGTGAGGTCATGAGATGCATGGCCTTGAAGGAGATCCTGGGATTCTGGTTCTTTCTTGTCTTTGTTTTGGCTTCCTACCTGCCATGAGGTGAATGGGTCTCCTCAGCCACACACTCTGGCCATGATGCACTGTGCATAGACCCAGAATAGCAGGGCCAACCAACCATGGACTGAACTCTCCAAAAACAAGAGCCAAAATAAACCTCTCCTCTTTTAAGGTACTTTTCTTGGTGTTTTGTCACATGATGAAAAGCTGACTGACTGTCAGCATTAGCTGTCTTCTGTCCTCTGAGCAGATTCTCCCGACAGCCCCAAAATGTGACGAAGCCTGTAAGGGCCCAAGTCCAGGTGAGAAGACACAAGGGGATCTGGTGTTGGTTTTCCTGTCTATAGATCATCTGAAGTCTGGGAATTTTCAGTCTTCCAGTTGTGCCTGTGGTGGCTATGATTTTATGTTTTTCCCTAGGTGCTTTCCTTTGTTATGCTGTTATTGTTTTTCTAGTTGAAAGTTGATGTACTTGTTTGTCTTTTTTTTTTAAATACAGTAATCAAATTCTCAATCTTGCTTTTAAAAACTGATGTAAATCTTCAAAGCCAGTTAAAGAGTCTCCTCTGCACTGATTCCAGTGCCTCCCATGTATTCTCATCAAAGAGCTTTCATCATCTCTTCCTCTTAGAAATTCTGAAACGTTGGTTTGTAGTTCTTTCATCCAAGGATTGTTTAATGAAGTTGTTAAATGTCCACGAAAGGAACCCTTTTCTGCTTTGTTTCATGATTTATGTCTAGCACTATTGTCTCACCCTCGTGTGGTGGACTGGTTACTGCCTTCCCCTTGTGTGGTGAGCTGGTTACTGCTTCCCGGTCATGCAGCATGCCACCTAGCAGTGATAGTGTCATCAGCAGAGTTTTGATGATGTCTTCTTTTCATTTCATATCCAGTCTTTAAAATCTGCCACCCATATGTTGGAAAAACTGTATTTCCACCTGCCAAAGATTAAAACTAGACCCTTGTCTTTCACCATGCACTAAACTAAAATCCAAATGGATTAAAGATCTAAATATTAAAAAAGAAACACTAAACTTACTGGGAGATAAGTTAGGCAGAACTCTCAAAGACATTGGCATAGGAAAAGACTTTATGGACAAATTCTCAGTAGCACACAGCCAGCACAAAGAATCAACAACTGGGATCTCATCCTATTAAAAAGCTTCTGCACTGCAAGAGAAACCACCAACAGAGCTAAGAGACAACCTATAAGGTGGGGAAAAAGGTTTACCAGATGCTTCTCAGACAAAGGACTATTACCTAGATTATATAAAGAACTCAAAAACATCAGGACCCT